CCAGCATACGGGTACGCAACGCCTGGTAAGTCCACGAGGCGCCCAGCCGTCTCGCTGCGGAACCAATCTTCTACTCAGTCACTCCGGCCAGTTTCGAGGACCCCAAGTCTTAAAGCGGGCATCTACGGTCCTTTCGGCTCCGCTTCGGCCGCCAGCTCCACCGTTGCGAGTCCGATCATTGCTGCCATGGGCGATCTCACTCCTTTCCCATCGCCTCTTTTGGCAGGCGACTCGCCAGGCCCGTGGAAACAGTTGGGTCGGAGGATGTCGCGCGAGGCTGCCATGTCCCCACCAGCTTCGGGCCCACTCGACACGAACGATCAAAACCATGTCTCGGGGTATGCGAAGAAAGGCTACGCAGGTCTCACGTCCGGCCCTGCGCCTGCCGATGGCGCCAACCCACATCAGAACGGCAGACTCGCGCAGCCCCCGTTACACCACACCAGGAATCGGAGCGTCAGCGAGTATATCCCGGACCCCATGTTGATACCTAAGCGCATGTCGACTGTGTCTGGGACCCGTGTCAACCAGGACTTGAAGAGCGCCGGTGAGGGGCACTTGCGGCGAGAACCCCATCTTTCCGAAGCAAGGGGTCTAACCCCCATCGAGAAGCCCCCGACACCACCCCCGAGCGAGTCATCACTAAGCACGACAGACCTGGCCCTGCCCGCCGCCTCGGGCAACTAGTGGCAGCAAACGGTCAAGTGCTGAATATTTTCGATGCGCATGGCCGATACGACCGGAAGGGTCGCCGTTGGCGTGCTGTCAGGGTGCTCGGCCCAAGGAACTTTTAGCCAAGTGTACTTGTCCACCAGCCAAATATCTCCATCTTCCTAAAGAGAGGAAGATTGCAGTACAGGTGCCTCCGTGCAGAACTCAGATCAAGCTCCGGCTCACGAACGCCGATCAGTTAGTGGCCGTAAAGGTCTGCGAGCACGGTCCCCGAGGAGGTGCATCCGAGGATGGTATCGAGATGAGCGTGAAGCGAGAGCTCGAGATCATGAAGTCAGTACGGCACCCATCGCTCGTAAACCTCAAGGCATGGAACATCGAGCCATCCCGCGCCATCCTCGTTCTCAGTTACCACCCCGGCGGAGATCTCTTTGACGGGGCGACTCGCCATCGCACCCTTCTCACGCCATCCCTCATCCGTCGCATTTTCTCCGAGCTCGTCGGCGCGGTCGCCTACCTTCATGCCCAAAGCATCGTCCATCGGGATATCAAACCAGAGAGTGAGTGGTTGCCCCCTTCGCACTCTCCCGTACCACTCCCCACCTAAC